TGGCGAACCTACTCTCGTGGGTCTTATCCAAGATTTGGAGTACTGTGAATACCTGATCTATGGTGGATTTGCCATCATGATGCAATAATGAAAGGTGTTATACGTTTCAACTTCTCGCTCTAATCCGCCATCTTGAACTACCTTAGGGGAAACTGTGTTGTTTCTTTGCTAATTTCACTGAACATTTCCCAAAATATTAGAAAAAATTCGAAACAAGTTACATTGCATGGTGGAATAATAACAAGGTGTTGTCAGTAGCGACGTGTTTGTTGTGATTTTGACAAGATCGGCATGCTTATTTTCAGTGCTGCCGATCTTAATTTTTATACTACTATTCGTTGGGAAATAGTATCTAAAATACTCCATTTTAGTAATTCGTTTTATCGCAATTTTTAAAGAACTTGGTGTTTTCAGAACAATATTAATATTTAAAATTGCTGGATTTGTATAATTTTTGTACTCAAAAAGTAGAAAAATAAAAGATATCGTGGTTATCAATGGAGAAAAATTTTCACAAAAATAGTATGGAAAGGCAATTTTTTATATTAAATAACTTTTGCTGCATTGTCATAATATTGAGCCAAATGAACTACTGATACATTAGAATAGAGTGGTGGCATGGTTAAATTAGGAATTCGCTTATATTATCGATATTTATGTGTTTTAATCTATTTAGAATATCATTTACAGTCTAATAGGAAATTGTCTTATTTTACGGCTTTTACTTTTTTAAAGTTACAATATATGTCCAAACTGTGTGGAGCTGCCGATACAAACATATATTAAGGCTTATAAGCCTGTAATTATACATTTTTCTACATTTAATTTGAAGTAGTATGCACCAACGGATTAAAAGTAGTAAATAATTAGTACCTTTTCTAGTACTTTAAAATGCGTGACCGGAATAGACCTGCCGAAAAAGTGAGGTTAAGTTACTGACAACACCTTGTTATTATTACACCATGGTTACATTGATTCAATTTTCGCTGACATTTGTTTTCTAATTGAGTGATATTTGGTAGGTATTGTAATAAAACCGAAATATTTTACAAATAAATTATTATTTTGTATTATTAGGTAATTTCCTTAGTGTTTTCCTGGCCGACCTATGCTAGTATTGTGATTAAGAGCTAATACATGTAAATTACAACATATTATTTTGACTTTATTGATGAACCATTCCATTTGCAGCATTCTCTGGAGAACTGCAGCTGTGGCCGAATTTGATTGTGTGCATCATCCTGCAGACATTTTGAAGTAAGTTGCAACCAGCTCTTTGTTATTTCAAAACCTAATGAGCCATTTATTCGCAGATTTTGTGTGCAATTCTGCTGTGCTGCGATCCTGCGCCGCCTGTGTATTAGTGTGTTCCCATCCTGCAATCAATTAATAAAATCAGGAAGCTATAGTATATAGTGATCCGATATTTGTAATTTTCACTAATTACATATACATATACGTATATATGTCGGCCGCTGTGGTGTAGTGGTAAGCAGTGAGCGCTTCCACTCCGCAACACCTCGGTTCAAGCCCTGGCCAAAGCAACATCGCAAAAAATATAGAAAAAAGGTTTTTTCTTAACAGCGGTCGTCCCTCGGCAGGCAATGGTAAACCTCCGAGTGTATTTCTGCCATGAAAAACTGCTTCTCATAAAAAAAAAAAATACAATCGCCATTCGGAGTCGGCGTAAAACGGTAGGTCCCTCCGCTTTGTGTGACAACATCAAGGCGCATGCCACAAATCGGAGGAGAAGCTCGGCCAAACACTAACATACTATGTATAAGCGCCAAACTATTATTATTATTATTATATTAATATAGTTTTGTAAATATATGTACACACATATCACATATATTAACATAGATATGTATACAAAATTAATAATGTGTATATACATTTTTTATATTGAAACTAGATATGTATATAGTATGTTATTGAATTAATATTAGTACTATGTAAGAATTGTATGTGCATATACACTGCAGGTCACTTGATGAGAGCCTCAGTACTGATAGTTTTCTTTTTGTTCGTTTAAAGATAATAAATTTTTTTATAAAAAGAAAGCATATTCTCTAACAAAAACCATGTAAATACGTAAACTTTGTACAAAAATTATATAAATTCTTCAAATTTACATAAAATGGCCAGTTCACTTTTAGTAGAACAAAGCTAAAGTTTCAATTGCCTACAAAATACCGTTAATATAATATACATTGATATATAATATAATTTTTTAATATATATATATATAGTTGTATTAATACATTTATATTATAACAGTATATTCACAACGGTGTCGTAAGTATCGTATTGTTTTATGTCGTAAATTTTGAGGGGTTAAATAAATGTCTAAAGACTTGAAAGCACAACCAACTATTTCCGAGTGTCAAAATTTATAACATGACTTACGAACTCCCTAAATATACATACAGTGAAACCCGCAACGGTAACTTTTGGCCACTTGAAACTTGCACGTTGTTACACTAAAATTGAATGGGCTATAAAACTGTATACTCAAAAAACTCTTCTGAGAAAAAAGAAAAGAAAGAAATTATGATGATTTATTTTTTTTGTGTTCTACAAAATCTTAATCATAGGTTTATATGATATTTGTTAGGAAATGAACTGTGTTTTAATTGATTGAAAAATCTTAAAAATTAATAAATGAACATAAGTGGCAAACAATATCATTTCGAATTTGGTACAAAATGATGTGTCCTACTTTGACTTTTTAAACATAAATGACTTACCATTGGACCAAGTATTTTTTTTTAATAAAGTTCTTCTTTACTTGTTTATGTATTTAAATAATGCTACGATTTTGGTTTTAGACTATGTATACTTCATTAAATGTTGTTATTCAAGTATTTATGTAAGTTAACAAGAAGATGTAACTACATCAGTAATTATGTTCGCTTAAGTACCCGCATTGAGGTACTTAAGAGGGTTCCTTTAAGTACCCAACCCGCCTAAGTACCTCAAAAAGCTGACATTTTTCGTGAGGTATTTAAGCGGGTTTTACTGTATATAGTTTTAGGGTGGTATTATCACTTGCGAAGCGAATGATTTTGGCGAAGCGAACGGTTTGGCGGAGCGAATTTAAGGGCAGGGAAGGAATTAAAAGCTTTCGCGATGCAAAGAACTTCCACAAGCTGGTAAAAAAGAACACTCTTAATGCATATTTAAGTTGCGTCCGCCAATCCATTCGCTTCGCCAGACCGTTCGCTTCGCCAAATTCATTCGCTTCGCAAGTGATAATACCGCCCTTAGCCATTTAAAGTTTACAAAATAACAATACGACAGTTAAGACACCGTTGTGAATGCCCATCGCTCTTATGTTTATTCGTTGTATGTTGTGTAATCGTAACTGCATGGGCGTGTGATTTGTTGTTGCTAGCGGTACATAAAATACACATGCAACAACAACCACATGCTCGTCCAGTTACACTTACGCTGGATACAGCGAATACACAGAAGCGCGAATACCACTCATATCTATGTGAGTAATATTATAAAATACGTTCCGGCAGAAGTGGAATTAAAGACTTTAATAAGTTTTAGGACATTAACTTATTTATTTAAAAGTATAGTTAAATAATAAATTCTGAAATATATCTTTAATTTCAAAAACAAATAAATAAAATATTAAAAAGTAGTCAATGCTTGCTGTATGAGACGAATTTGAATATACGTAATGTATAATTCCTTATATGATTCCTCAAACAATCCCTGATATAACACTGTGGAACACAAAGAAAACGTATAATGCGAATAGCTGTTGGCCATACAAATAATGCCTCTGAATATAGCGGCTAAATCTTTTTTCTCCAAATTTTGAAAATTTATCGTATTTTGGCCTTAGATTTTATTGAAAATAACATACAAAACAGATTTTTGGATCGTGAAAATTTTTTTCTCGAGAACACGAATTGATCTAGTAAAACTGAGTATGAGGCATTATTGGTATGGTCAACAGCTATCAAACCTGGGCTCGAATCGTCACATACGATATCGTATTACTCGTCACGTAAAAACACCGTTTTCGGATTATGACATACGTGAGCGTACTCTTTATCCCATTCAGCTTATACGACTGACGGTATCACGTAATTTTCTTTCGTATGGTTTTCGATCCGTGAACGGATGTTACCTGCCCTGATATATGCGCCCGAGAAGCCCATATGAAAGAGGGGGACAAAATATCACACGTAAATAAATTTCTCTATTTGGCCTGTACAGTATAAGGGAAAAATTTCAAATTCTTAAGGGATACTTTTCTTAGTGATACGGCACATATAAGGGATTATATATAAGCCACACTCTTCTAGCTGGGTATTCATCAGCTCAAAAATTTTAAGCATATTATATTCCTGTGAATAGAAACACGCCTAATTTTATTATTTTAATTATCTACAAATTTATGAGACTAACAAGCCATATATATATGTACCCGCTTAAGTACCTCACGAAAAATGTCTGCTTTTTTGGGTATTTAGGCGGGTTGGGTACTTAAAAGAACCCGCTTAAGTTTCTCGATGCGGGTACTTAAGCGAACATAATTTTTGATGTATGTAGCTAGATCTTTTTCTTAACTTACAAGCTTAAACAGACGGCAGTACTTAAGCGGGTTTCACTGCATACCTATTCTGATAATTGGCACGCTGTTGAGAAGGTGTAAAATTTAGTAATTATTCCACTAAAAGGCTTTTTTTCTTCCCGTTTTTCTTGTACTTCCAAAATACAAGATTAAGCTAAGGAAGTTCGAATTCGAGTTGTCACAACGTACAACACCTTTCGTTATTGCATCATGGGACACACACACGAAATAATGACATTTTTTTCTTGACCGTTTTCTTCTTTATGATGAAAAAAAATGTATCCGCATGTAACTTTCGTAAGGCGGGAAATGCTCCTATGTATTAGACAAACCCAAATTTTGCCAAAAGAAAACGCAATTGGCTTTTATATTTTCTTTTTCATTTATTTCATTTAAATTTTACGTCAATTTAATTATAATATTTATCAATACAGTTATTATTAATATTTACAGTTTGTTTGTTTCTCGATTTCCCGCAACACGCACAAAACACTTATTTGTTTGCCTATTATATTTTGAGTTTCTCATTTTTATATTTATTCTTAATTTTTCTGTTATTTTTTTCATATCCACGACTTTATAACTGTCTATTTTATATATATATGGTATATATGTTTCTTTATAATCTATTCATATATTTAATATTCAATATAATTTATGTTGTGTAATTTACATGTGTTATACATACTTATGTATGCATGAATTTACTACATACACGTAGTGTATGCATTATAGATCTTTTTGCAGCATTTAAAATCTAGGCAAATTATACATATGTATGTATGTTTGTATATGTATAGAAATTTTTGTTTTTTACAAGTCGGGTTTTAAGTGGGAAAACAGAGCAGTAGAGAGGAAGAATCCAATGATTTGTATTTATGTATGTATGTTAATATGTATATGTTCGTTTTATAAATTTAGACACTTGCAGTTAAATGGGTTGACGTCGATTTTTAATTCTTTTTTTTACTTTTTTAATATTTTCGCTAAGTTTCTAAGCTTTTAACAACTACGCTTAAAAGTCGTCAATTTTGCTATTTTTTATTTAGTTAATTAGGTATTTTTCTGGGTTTTGCTTGCAATTTCACATTTTTCATAACTATTGTTTTTTTTATTTATTTAAATTTTTGTTATTTTGGTATCTGTAGATTTATGTATGTTATATTTGCTAATACGCGTTTCCAAACAAGTATACACACATATGCACATAACTTTCTATAGTGCTACTGATTTTTATTATTTTTTAGGTGTGTACCTACATATGTACGTATATAAGAATATTCGAATGTACTATGTATTTAATTGTTGGGTTTAATTTTTTGTAATTTATGCATGCATGTACATATGTATGTATGTGCGTATAAGGTGATTGATTTTAGATATTTTTGGTGTTATTTAGCTCTGTTTAAACTATCCGCATGTTTTTCGACAAAACTTCAATATTTCGATTTACATACATATGTATGTATGTATGTATGTACATAGGGTACTTGTGATCTCTGTACGTACTCGTATATAAAAGTTATAAAGAAATAATAGAAACATTTTTTTTGTAAGAATTGCGACTGTAGTGGGTCGATTATGGATAGCAACGGCCCCCTTAGTTGGGTAGACGATGGTCAACGCCACTGAATCGAAAGTTTATATTAAGAATAATAATTTTTATCAATCGAAAAGTGTATATTAAGAATATAACTATTATCAAGTGTTCTTAAGCTGAAGACTTGTGTGCAAAAAACCTGCAGAAATAGTAGAAAAAATGCAGTTGCTAATATGTATAGCAACTCTCTGCTCTAATTAGCAGCTAAGTAAAAATCAAAAACGAGCCGAATGAAAATCTAATGATTGTTCTTGTTGTAAGTTTAGCAACAGTACCGAGTTTTCAAGGAACCTAAGATGGGCCCAAGAAAGATGCTACATTAACGGCGCTGAAAATCACAGCAGATACAAAATAACAAAATTCTCCAACTTTTGATGCATAAATTTATGATGCCCAAGTTGATACCTAATAATATTCTCAAATGAAACTCAAATTTAAAAAAAAGCTTTTTTTATAACTGACTTCTTTTAAAAGTTTCCACATACGAATAAAAAATGTCAGTCCCATATCATATATGGTATGTCAAGCAGAAGTTATGGGTCGATTATCGATAGCAATCGAACTTCAGTTGCGTTGCTAGTTGCCAAAACGATATTACAGATGGATACTGGCAACTTTCAACTGACAACTGCAGTTGCTACAAAGTGTGCATACAGGCGAGTACATTTTTGTGGTTGCTGAGAATGTTTTTGAGCGTGTTTAGGAGCGAAAATTGGAAAGTGTGTCATATATTTTATATTAACATTTTGCAATGCAGTTTGCTTTTACAGAATGTGGAGAAAATAACAAAACAATAACTTGAAATTTTAGTTCCCGTGTAGTACGCCCTTTTGGCGAAACAAAATCGAACGCTGATTGCAAATTTTTCAGGTTATCAACTACCGACACACCAAGTTTTCCAAATTAAAGTCATCGCTGTGGCACTTCCTTCTGCGAAAAATCGAAAAGGTGCGCAAGCTTTTATGAGTGGAGGTATTGAAGTTGAACGAAGTGGTTCATTTGTTTATTAACCAATTATACTACAGCTTCTTTTGGAAGTCCTCAATATGTTTTGAAAATGAACACAAAACGATAATAAAAGAAAACCTTGAAAGCATTAACACTTGCTTACAGTGCACGCGGTAGCTCTAGAGGATTGGAATTATCCTTTAAATGTCGCCTGATTAAGGCCGCGTTTATGCACTTCTCTCCCTCGTAAACAAATAATTGTGATGAGCTTAGCTTTATTGCTGTTTTTTCTTTAAAACTCTTTATTTTAATCATTTAATTTTACTCGCACAGCTTGTTTACAGCCGCTTGCTGGTTGTCGAACTGTCAAATTTCGATTATCGATAATTCGACAGCAACTGACGATAGTTGCCATTCGTAATAGAAATTTTCTTGCCAGCTGGCAACCGAACCGTGGTTGCGTTGCTATCCGTAATCGACCCATAAGCTTTAGTGCTCTAAGTTACCTAAAAGTGTTCTCTAACAAAAAATAGGGGCTTGTTCGAGTTGCAATCACAGCCGCAGTGTTGCGCGAATTTCTAGCAATGTATTATCAGTTGGCCAGTTGCAGCAATGTAGCCATTTTTCATCAGTACGGCAGTAATGCCGCTTTTATTACGTGCCTCGAACAGGCCCAATCTATTAGGAATGGTATAAAGGAGCTTTAGAATAAACTAATTTAAGTTCGCATGGGTAGTGGGTATTAGTAAACGTGCGAAGCCTCTTACACGCTTTTATCTTTATTTGTATGTATAAGTGAATGTGTGTGTGTTATGAAAATCAAATGAAATGAGGTGAGAATTACAATCAAAATGATTTAAACAAAAAACAACTCATTTAATTGGTTGTACGAAAAAAATAACAGACAAATTTATTGATCTTCCTTTTGTTGCTTCTTTGTTTAAAAACAAACAAAAAAAAATTAAGAGAAACTTCTTGCGCATTACAACTTAAAATGTACATTGGTACAGTAATGAAACTTATTTATTTGTGTATTTCATTTTAATTAATCATATATGTAGGTATGTCTGTATGTACATATGTATTAACATACATATTTGAATTATTTCTAAATATACTATGTATGCATCTAACGGAGCGGGCTAGTGCTAGTACATACATATGTATGTATGCATAGACTTTTTCAATACTCTAACGCTAGCTGACCTTGCTTATTAGATGTTTTTCGGGTTTAATTTTTAAATTTTTACAATAACTTTAAATTTTAACGCTGCTTCTTTCAAGTTTTGCTTCATACACTTTTATTGTTTTTGTTAAATATTTATATTATCATTAATTTTAATTTGACTAACTCAGCTTTAGTTGCTTTGCAGTTAGTGAATATATGTATGTATGTAATAATTAATCTGTTCTAACGCTATACTAAATACTAATTTTACGTTTAACTGTACATAGATTTAAAATAGTTTATGTGTTACTTTCATTTTTCAAGTTTATTGTATTAATAGATGCTCTACATAACATTATTCTGTAGATTTTTTTACATTAGCGCTTAGCATTACTCATAATTTATTTATGGATATACATACATACTATATATTGTATTTTACACACTACTTTAATATTTTACAAAGTTAATTATTACCAGAATTACGTTTAATAATAATGGGAAAGGGATATTATGTAATATTTTGGATATCGTGAGGATTGTTTTCTTTATACCATTTTCCTTTAAATTTTAGTTTTATATGCATTTTAATGTTCCTTCTTATTTTCAGCATAGTTCAGTTTATATTTTACTGTTGTCTTAAAAAGAAAAAAAAAATCGAGAATTCAATGAAAACCAAAAATTATAAGGTAGAAAAATTCTATTCAACTGTGACAAAAAAAAAATCAGTGACAACAATGCTAAAAGGTAAGCAAAACATGTGTTGAATTGATTGGGAAGTCTTACAACAATATATAGATATGCCGCCAACAGCTAAGGGGTTGGACAACTAGTCTAATCAAGACGCAAAGCCACGAGGCATTTAACTCAGTTCCACTCTTCCGCGTGAATGCTGGCCGGCTTTCTATAAACTCCACAAAAGGCATAGAAGTTTATTCGTTCAAGAAGATTAACCAAAAACAAATAAAATTGTGTGCCTTTCTACAGCTGCGGGTACATATATAACTAATAACGCAGAATATATGTTTGTATGTACAACCTAAGCAAAAATATACACGTATGTATGTATTTCGCAAAAAATGGCAGTGATAGAAATAACAAAAAAATATATATAAAAATTATGTAAGTAGAACGGACGAACTTGAAAACAATTAAAGAATTTATCTAATAGTCTAGTTAGTGTAGACTTAACTTAATTTACGTAAGAAATCATCAATGATTACTCAACACGTCAACTTAGCCAGAAACGAAAATATTCTGTTTTTTTATTTGCCTTTTCAGCTGATAGTCACTTGGCCGCCTATAAGCCACATCAATAAATTTCGGAACAAAAATATATTGCTTTAGCCAATACATTAGTTAACGTTACGTAAATTAAGTCTAGACTAACTGAACCTTAAGAAAGGCATGCCACTTAATTCAAGTATGAGACTCTTTCAAAAGCAAGACCAAAAATAAAAAAAATAAAAACATAAATAATAGTGACACACAAGTGAGTTGAGCGTGAGCGGAAATACATACATACATACATTTGAATGTATAAGTAGTTGCACATAACAGTTTCCAGATAAGGTTCCAATTTAAGTGTAACATTAAATGGACACACATATATGTATGTATAATTAAGTGAGTGTATGCATGTATGTATGTTTATATAAGCAATGTTGGGTATTGATTTTAGTTTTTTTGTCTTATGTCCTCATTTCTTTCTTATTTTCATTTTTTTTTGGCATTTGAACTTACAATGTAACAAGCATCTAAGGCATTCTTAGAATCTTATTATTATTGTTAGTAAAATTAAAAATAAACTTAAACACACATACGCACAGTAAAAAAAAAAATCATTAAAGAAAAAAACCTAAGCACTGAATTTCGCCAACATCTTGCCAGATGACAAATATTGTAGGAAGAAAATAAATAACAAACTGAAAATTCTATGAATAAAAAGGTGCTGACAACAAAAGACATATTAGGAAAAGTGGCACCGTTTTGTACATATAATAGTCAAGAAAAAAAAAGAATTCACACGCATGAATAAAAACTCACACTTTTAATGTTGTCACAGAATAAACAGTATGCAGAAAAACATCAGACCATACATTTAGCCGGTTTTAATGTTACGGAATGGAGCAGAGAACTTAACCTTCAAATGAACAGTGCCGGCCAAATGAAAACACTGTTTAAGTAACCGAGGCAGTGCCGACTTGACGTACGCTTCTTTCCTAACCGACCGTGCCATAAATTCAGACTTCAGCGCACGCAGACATGCTTCTTCTGTACATTGTTTATTCTGTGCAGTTATTGAAACAATTCAGCTGGTACTTTAAGCTTGGCTTACTACCCCTCTTCTCTTCCTCAAAGGATTACTATCAAGTCATCTGTTTTGCTCCCTTGTACATTGTTATCTCCGCATAGATTCACCTTTTAAAAGTTTATTTTAGCTGTAAAAATCAGTTTCTATTTGATCAGTTTGTTACCTTTTTTTTAGTTTTTGTTTCCTTTTGATAAAGCAAATAAGAAGTAAGCTTTTCTTTAATTTGAGATCATACATAAATTACAATTTTTCATTAGTTAATAACCGTAAATTAGTTTATTATTTAAACCTTACTAATAAATATTTATGTTTATTAATAATCCTTCAACTTGCTTTTTTTTATTATTATTACTGTAATATGAAACACTAAGGAAAATGTTATTCATAAAACAAGTGCGGGTCAAAAACTAAAAAAGTACGACAAAAAATAATACGAGGTATTCACAAAACTTGTAATAAAAATTTGCTTAGCAGCATGAAAATCAAAAAAAAAAACTGTATATATACATTTTTAACAAATTGATAAAATTAAATATTTTACTTTTTCATATTTTCATATTCTCATTTTTATCCTCATAACTCCGTGTCCAAATTACGAATACCTATCTTGGAATACTTGCACGCATTATCGTAGTATTGCGTAGTTTTTCCCTTTTTACTTTTTTGCTTGCTTCATTTCAATATCGGTTTTAGTTCAGTTTACTGTGCCTATTTGACTATATGTCAGGGGCGCGGGTTTCTCTTTTTCTGTATAGATTTTTTCAAATTAACACTCATTAACGCCTCTTACATTTTAAGACTTGTTTTGTTTAGTGTTTTGTATTTTTTGTATCCGTTTACTTTTGTCTCCCTTTTCTTTTCTTATTTAAAGTTTTGGTTTTCATCTGATTTATGCTTTTAGCGAATTTGCTTATTGGGTGTCTGTTAACGACTTATTAGATTTCTGGGCTACACTTTTTGTATATTTTTTTTTTGTATGTTATTTTTTCGAAAAGAACTTAATTGCTAGAATCCTTTAAACATTTAATTAAAATAAATTACATTCGTTCCTCCATAACGTTTGTATGTAGTTATATTTCCCTTTTAAATATCTTCCTATGCGCCAGCAGTTTTGCGCCTATTTTTACTTATTACTTCTTCTTTAGAGTCAGATTTCTTTATTGTTTTATGTAGTCACATTCCATGTAATGAAATCTGTTACAAATTCACTTGTTTGTTCGCGTCAGTATATATATATATATATATATGCCAGTTTGTATATGCTAGTGTGATACTAGTAATTTTGGTGTTTAAAATCCGGATTAAGCAATTGCACAGCCCCGCTTTTACGCTCCAGAGCATTGAAATGCAATGCGCATTTGAACCTTTACTCATTACTGGTGCTTTAGGTACGTACACCTCATTTTGCATTTAGACAGTTGCTATTACTATCAGCAAATGTGCGATTTCTGCTACTCGATTCTTTAAATCAGGTGCCGCTCGCTCCAAATTCTCATTGGCAAAGTCACACGATGGGAATATATGCACAACATAGGCTGCTTGCTCACTGCCGGGCATCGGTATGTTTACTATGCCTGCAGCCATTTTCTGTTGCAAGTAGGTGATGAAGCCAGTTTGTAAGTTCCGCGACTGCTGCAAAACGTCCGCGTGGTCGCGGCCACAAGGTAGCGCCAAGAGCATGCAATGCTCGTTTTCAAACTGCAAGTAATACATATTTGAACATTATAAATTCTGCCTTATGTATTTGATTGCTATAACTCACCTGCATCTTCTTGGTCACTCCCTCTAGCTGTGTCTGCTCCAGCCGCATGCGTTGAGCTATACGCAGCGGCGGTGTACTACCGTCGCGGTTGCAGGGCAACGAGGCACGCGCCACATGAGGGTTGCCGAACACGAAATGCATCTGTACTGCTGCCTGATCGGTCTTGAGTGCCAAAAGACCCTGCCACATGACTGGATAGCGTTGCAGGAGTGTGAGCAGTGAGTCAGCTGATGGCGGTTGTGTCACTTGTGGATTGGCATGGGATGGTGTCGCTACTTGCAGACTTCTCGTTTGAGTTGTGGTTTGTGGTGGTTGACCAGCAGCAGAAGACAAAGTATCTGCGGTGGAGGCTAGTGTGGTGAGAAAAAGTTTTGGTGATTTCATAATTGCGGGAGTGTGCGCGGAAAAGTCCACTTACGTGTAATTGCAATACGTTCTTTTTCACGCTGCAGTTGCTGTTGCTCTCGTTCGCGCTGCTCGCGGTCCTGCTCAATCCGTTGTGCGGAATGCAGATGTGCTACGGCAGCTGATGGTGGTTGTACATTAAGGTTGCCGCCACCAGTTGTAGTGTTTACCACTGCTGTTGCCGCTGACGCTGGCTGTACTGTCGTAGGTGCCCCGCCAATGAATGGGCTGGCTGCTCCCGCGACTGGTGGTGGCACGGCGACCGGCGGTGGTGGCGCCACAACACTATGCGCTGCAGCTGAACGATGAGCTGGTGGTGGTTCGACCGGCAATTGACGACCCGCCTCGTAGAATGCGCGCTCAGTGTAATGCGGATGTGGTATGCGGGTGTTGTGTACATATACTTGAGCCACTTGTGGCGAATCTGTGGAATTGAAGCAAATATTAAGGCGTAAGTTGTAAATTAGAAATGCGTATAAGTATATTTATATAACGTACCTGTGGCACGGTCTTGTGGACTTTGTAGTCCATGCGGCACAGCGATCGTACGTGGCACGCTACCCGGTCGTCGCAATTCCAATGGTGGACTACCAGCGAGTATTTTTTCGTCGAACTCACCACGCAAAGAAGCATTGATAGTTTCCTGTTGATTGCGTAATATGTGCTGGTAGATGATAAACGAATCACGTGCTGGAACACCGCGAATTCCACCAACCGGGAAGCTGGATTCACTCTGTTGAATAGAAATGTTAATTAGTAATTTGCGTTTGAACACAAATTTCATAATAAAACAACTTCAAAACTATAAAAAAAAAGGGCAAACAGGCGAATACATAAGTGTGGCGTTTACCGGTGTTATGGGCGAGGCTTGCTGATGCGCGGGCGGTGGACTTTTTGTTGTACGCGAACTAGAAGCATTGGCGCAATAGCTGCTGATTTCATGCTGCGTCCGCAAGTGGATATGACGACAAATAACATTTACAGATTTATAAAATTTTGCAATAATCAGAATTTAAGCAAGTTAAAAAAGTGTACTTATTCAACTGGAGACATTTTTATTGTTTTGAACTATACTAGAATGCCACTTCTCACTCCCTTTTATCAAAATTACACGTTTGTCAGAAAATGCGAAAAACTATTTCCATTCCTTTTTCAACTTCGAGTGTGAGTGGACGTGCTAAGCGCAAGTGACCTAATTGTACTTTCTTTTGGCGCATACCTTACAAGTGTTTCAATCAAGTGGTTTTATTTTAATAATTATTTAATTTTGCTTGTATGTGCAAGTGAATTTATTTGCTACACAAAGTGTGATTTTTTAATTAAGGTGGAGGTACTTTTGAAGGTTTCGACACCTAAAGTGGATTTCTGCAGAATTTAATTTTGAAGGTCTAAGTAAAGTCACCACTTTACTAGGATAAATCCAGGTGAGTGATTCTGCTCCTTTTACTTGTGGAAAAATTGACTTTTTGTGAGTAGTGCTGTAAATTTTTGGGTAGGCTGTCGACTACGGCAGCAAGAAAAGCCAAAGCCGGCATGGCGTCTTCGACATCATTGTCGAGGGCGTCGTCGGCCGAGGATTTTGACTCGCTAGTGAACTCAAACCTTGCAAGAGGCAAGAGGTTCAAGAGAGATAGGGAACAAAAGCTTGTCAGGTCACTTAAAGGCCAAGATTTGGAAAAAAATTTTGTAGACTGTACTTCCAGAGAGGTTGGGTTTGCTGCTGGTGAAAATGGCGACTCTTCTATGTGCGTTGAATATAACGGAACTGCAACGGTTAGTGAGGCGTCTTTTGTGGCGTCGGATAACGGACAAGACAGTTTTGCAAATGCAAGTGTAAATGAGCGAGACAACACTACAAACGCAATGAATGAAAACGGACTAGACGACATTACAAAGAAAATAAGTGAAAACGGACAAAACAAAAATACAGTGGATGACATGATATTATACCCAGACAATTTCTCAGGTGCCTACTTTGTTTTGGTTGATTCATCTATGTGTAAGGAGATGTGTAACGAAAAAATCGGAAATGGTTTGACACTGCAGACGGAATCAAACATCTGAAAATTAAAGACATTGATTCGATACGGGCTGTTGGTAAAACACTTTATTTAGTGGTTTTTCTTAAATATGCTTCGGCTAACAATTTTGTCTTGAATGACAAAGTCAAGAGTATTGGCCTGCGTCCCTTTGTGCCTAGGTCGGCTATAGAAACTTATGGGGTAGTTAGGAGCATCCCTACCTCATATAGCGATTCTGAAGTTAAAAACAATGCGATCTCCTCTGTGCCTATAAATACGGTGTGGCGTTTTAAGCGTAGGGATGGTGAAAACGGTTTCACTCCTACAACTACAATTAAGATTGGGTTCATTGGTTAAGATATTCCAAATTCCATAGTACTTGATTACACTAAGCTGAAGGTTGGCTTTTTTATACCACCACTTCGCCAATGTCTAGATTGTGGCAGACTCGGCCATACTCAATTGGCATGTAAATCAAAGAAAAGGTGTATCAAATGTGGAGGTTCTGAATGTGACAGTCAAACGTGTATCAAAAAGTGCATTTTATGCGGGAGTGCTGATCATGTATCGGGTGAGAAAGATAAGTGTAATCAGTGGGAAAAAGAGCATGAGATCAACTACATCAAAGCCGTCAAAAAGATATCCAGGCGAGAGACCATTCAAAATTACTTTCCGGACAGGGAAAACCAAATCCAGGCGCTTGCAGTAGATGAAGAAGTGTTTCCACCGATTTCTGGTAAAAACACTAATCTGAGGAGTAGAGATGTTACTGTTAACAAAAGGCTTACTAAACATAGATATAGTTATGTGCTCAAACTACCGCCAGCTGGCCAATCAGATCGTAAAAGTCCAAAGGTGGCCCCGAGAGTAGGCAGAGAAAGGGAACAAATTCAACCAGTCTTTGAAAAGCCTGAGTACTTGAAGGGAAAGGTAACACAAATGGAAAAACTCATTTCGGAGCTTTTTCAAATTCTACAGCAAGTTAGTAACAGTGAGCAGCTGGGGAGTGTTAGGCCGATTGCCTTGATCCCCGTTTTCCTCAAATGCATCAATCTCTGCATCAAGGACAGAATAACATTTTACCTGGTAATTCCTTTGCATATAGACGTAAAAGATCTGCGACAATGTGTATTAACCAGTTGTTACATGAAGTAGCTACACTTAAAAGTCAGGGCTATAAAGTAACTCTTTGTGCAACCGATATTAGAAATGCATACAACTGTGCCAAGGTCAGCCAACTTAAAAGTGACATGCTGGAAGCAGGTGTACATGAGTCATATGTGGTATGGATTACCAATTTCTTGTCTAAAAGAACACTTCAGCTAGGAAAAGAAACAGAAGAAATACAGGATGGTTTGCCGCAGGGCAGCTGCCTATCACCTCTATTGTTTAATTTATACTCAAAGGGGCTCCACGCCATAAAAGACAATGGCCCGTAGTTATAGTCTAAAGTTAAAACCTCTTCTAGTTAAAATTAATCTTTAAGTTTAGAGCAGGCTTTAAGTTTTAGTCAGTTATAGACATGTTAGAGTCAGGTTTTTGCTAGATTGACACAAAACAGGGTCATTAATATAAAATGAAAAAGTAACCAATCGGCATTAGGAAAACTTTGTTATTTTAGCAAGTTCACCCTGTGTAAACTGTGTAAGTAAGGTCGGTGTTATGCAGACAAACTTTTGTTTGCCAAATTAAATGGCGGCTGCTTAGTTTGCTCGGAGGTGGTTATGTCGAGTTTGGCACAGGGTTGCACGTTCATTATGGTTTTCATGGCTATTGCCAACACGAAATGAGAATTTCAGATGTACATAACGCGCACAATTTAAAATTTTTGTATATGACAACACCGAATTCGCTGCAGTTTGACCAAACAAAATTAGTTTGCTGTGAGAGTCGCCAAACTCGCTCTCTCCGAGTTTGTTGCAACAACAATTGCACGCAGTTTGCCAAACAAAATTTCTGCGTAACACCATCCTAAATAACAAACTTTTGTAAAATATAATTTATTAACGTAAATAATTTAATTTTTATAGGAAGTGAAAAGAATTCGTGAAGTTCATTGGACTACTGCTGAAAAGACCAGCTTGCGGTACTCCTTTTTCATTTGAAAAGGATCTTGGCGTTCCTTGTATGTTTTCCTATTTCTGGTTGCGATTGTATCATGCAAAATCGCAAAATCTCGAAATATCCTTTCATTGGGAAGCATATTCTTCAAATTAAGACCATTTTTGTATATACTCCGCAAATTTTGACAGGAAAACGTCTACTTAGAGTACGCTTTTAAGATTTTAAAACCTCGTCAACCTCATTTTAAATTTAAAACGCCGTTTCAAAGTTAAAAGGTCGTTTAAGTTGACTATGATAGTGTTAAAAGAGTGTTTATCTTTATATACAATTTTAAATGTTAAAACCTGCCTCTAACTTGTCTATAACTACGGGCCAATAACACGACTATTTATCAATTTGCGGACGATTTTATAATAGTATCTTACTCCAAAAATGTGGACACAATGGTTGAAAACCTACAAAGCAAGATGGATATCTGGGGCTTGTGCGAAGAAATCAACTTATCATTCAATCCTGCAAGAACGAAATTTATGTATTTGTGCAAGGGGAACCGATCAACTTTTCAGATAGTATGTCAGGGCAGAAGTATTGAGCAGGTTAAATCTATTAAATTTTCGGAAAGATACATAAGTGCGTCGTTGGCTGTAAGTGAGCATTATGGTGAAGTCATAAAGGCTTCTGGAGCGAACTCCAACGTGTTCAAATCGATAACTACAGTTAAAGCAGGTCTGCGCCCACAGATTGCACTGAACTATTATAAAGCAGTTGTTAGGAGCAAGATCGAGTATTGCAGGTCCTCAACGGCTTACTGCTCAAACACCACGAACAATAAAATCAGAACGTATCAGAACCGTTTTTTGAGGAGGTGCCTGGGGCTAACACCTGCCACTCCCATAAATCTAATTTATGCTTTGGCCAATGAGCTTCCACCTGAAGATAGAGCCAAATGGTTAACGGCAAAGGAACTCATAAACAATATAGTAGCTAACAGAGTCCTGAAAGAATCGTTACATAAATATCCCGATGTCAAATTCACTTACAGCTTAGTTTACAGGGAGTTTAGGCAAGTCTTTGACAGTGTAGATATTATAAAGGAAGATATTTCATCTCCTAATCTTAATGTAGTCACCAAGACACTACCTGATAAAAAAGAAAATTTAGCCTTGGAAAGTATAAGAACCATTTATGCAGAGATAATGAATGACTATGAGAAAGCAAATATCACTATTTATTATACGGATGCGTCGATTGGCCCTAGTGTCACTGGCTGCGGGATCTTTTGTCACACTGATAGAAAAGAATTTTCCTTTAAGCTCAATTGTAAAACTTCATCATGTTTCGGTGAAATGGTAGCTATTTACAGAGCTCTAGAAATTGCAAAGAATAACTCCCTAAATAAAATTACGATATTCACGGATAGCTTAATTGCTTGCCAGCTGCTGGTAAAGGAGAACACCAACAATCATGTCATTTATAAGATACACAAGGTAATAAAGGAAGCATGTTTTGAAAGGGTTGAAATTGTGTGGACGCCAAGTCACAAAGGAATACCGGGGAATGAAAAAGCTGATCAGCTTGCAAGAGCTGCCATGGGTGGTAATAACGTAATGCAAGTAAATCTATCGGTAGACGAAGCTCTTAGACTAATTAACAACCAAATAAAAGATAACTGGTATGAGAGAGTCTTAGAGTACTCTAGAAATAAGCCCAATTTGTTTACTGAGATTTTCAATAGACGTACCAAAAGACTTGGTTTCATAAATGCACATTGAGCGCCCAAAAAATAAAACTTATAAACAGAATTCTCACTGGACGTACATATGACACAGAATACCTTTACAATATAAATGCACTAAACTCAAATGTCTGTGGTTGTGGCCAATTTGACAGCTACATTCACCAAATTTTTGAATGCCCTCTTCTTAATGAGCCTCGAGCTGAGTTTGAAATATTTCAAGAATGTAATAACCTCAGTCAATTGTTCCACGGTTTTAACATGAGCAGAATCACGCAACTTTCTAACTTTTTAACAAAAATAGAAGCAAAACTTTAATATTTTATAGTTATTATTACTGAAGTGGTTTATCTGTGGTGAAAATGCCGTCCACCACACTCCTTTTTTTTTTTTTTACTTATTCACACATGATACAAAAACAAGTATCAATACAATATCGACCCTCTAGTTAAGAGGTTATGCTATTTTGCTTCTACTATATGCGGTCACATTCAAGCATGCAGATAATGAAGGAAGACGTATAACCTGAAGTTTTAAGAGGAATTCACAAATTTTTGCTGCAACCACATCAAGGCGCTGTCATACTAATGCGCCTCGCCACATGCTGTCAACAATCGACGAAACAAATAAAGAAAAAAGACGAATAACCTGGTGTGTGCGATCTGACAGTTCCTACCAACTTAATCAAATCCAAAAAAAAAAAAACAAAAACTATTTCTTAGCTATGATAATCATATGGGCATGGGAGGCTTTACCTTAGTTTTTTTTAACAAATTATAACAAAAATTGTCTCCAATTTACCGACTGCGATATACATATTTACATATACATATGTGCAATGGTATCAATTTATCGGCTGTTATCGATTTATAAAAAAAAGTACGTTTACCTATAAATGTAATCTCAATCAAAGCTCATTAACTGTCAAATTGGTTGTGCTTGTTATTCACACAACTCGAGGAAAAGTTAAACTTCTATGTGCCACCGTGGTCACTTTTTTCAGCTACACATATTATGCTGTTTAAATATATTTTAACTGAATACTTTATTAAAAATACCTTTACAAACCTCTTTTCCTTACTAGCGTCAATTTTTGTTTACTTTTACATTTGACATTTCTCCTCTTCTTCGCAAGTATAATCGATAAAACTAGGTTGGACACCAAAAAGTTATCAGTTTAATCTGGGATAATTTTATAATTATAATTTTGTATGGCTAATCTCTTTTTCTGATTACAGATTAGGGAGTTAAGCTCGAGAATGTGGATAATCTTTTTATATGTAAAGCTATTATTAGGCGATTCAGTTACATACATACACAAGTAGGTTAGGTTAGAAATTAAACATTAATTTCAATTAATTTTATTCATTTTGCTTATTTAATTTTTTTATTCATTTTCATTTTTAATTCTTTTAATGGATGAAATTATCGGTATGATTGATAAAATATGATAAGTGTATATATTTGTGACTCAAGGACGTTAAAATATCTTGAAAACACCGCATCAATTACTGTGTTTGAGCTTTTAGTTTGAGCATTTCTATTTGTATATACATATTCCTAAATTTAGTTTTTCTTTTCGGAATATAATCTGTGGTTCATGTAAATGAGAGCGATTTTTGGAGAGTTGTGTAGAGAATGAAGTTGCAAGATTTTACCCGATGCTGTTTTTGTTCCCGTACTTTTTGCTGTTACTCACTTTTACTCTCACTTCAGAGAGTGATTTTGCTGTTTAACATTTTTACAGGATTTTGCACGGAAAGTATCTATTGGATCAGGGCTATTATATTATCTATACATATGTATATTATACATATATTCATGTATGCTCATCAGTTATCAACGGTCCCAGTTAAAATGATTTCAGTATTTTTTTTAATTTTCGCCTTGCTTTTTTATCAATAGACTACTAAACATATGCCTAAAACCATCTACGAATATCAAAACCAGCTTCAACAGATGAGTTCATACATACATATGTATGTATACATATAGGTACAAAGCCGTATGCATGGCCAGAGTTTGCATAATCGGAAGTACATAATAATCAATTGTACCGCATTTCTTCTCACTCCGCATATGCATAAATGTATGCAACCATTTGCAATAGCACGGCGCTTCTAATGAAATTAAAAATTTGCTGCTGCAATACACATCCCAGAAGATAATTTAGTTAGGCCTTCTTAAGTGAAGCCATTCTAAGAGGCCTACCCAAGAAGGTCTGAAAAAGTACTTCCTTGCATGCCTACTAGAAGGGCTTATCCATTTACAATTTACGCGAATGCATAAACCCAGTAGATAATTTCAGGAGTTAAAAGCCCTTCCGAAAGGCCTTCCTGAGAATCAAGAGGCCTTCCACTCTACATTCCTTTCTCCTTTCTTTTTTGTATGGAGTGGCACAAATTGAAGGCCTTCCTCTTTCGCTACCCATAGAAGGCCTTCCAGAAGGGCTTTTATAGGACGTGCTTCAGAAGGCCTTTTGGAGGAGATCTTTTAAAGTTGCTTTTTTAATTTATAAAATTCATACATCTTTGAAGCGTTTGCTTAAGGTTTATATCAAATTTGTGTTATTGCAACTTAAAATGTTTATTAAAATTCATTTGTAGTGCTAAATAATATAAAGTTATGCATTCGCGTAAATTGTAAATGGATAATCCCTTCTAGAAGGCATGCAAGGAAGTACTTGTTCAGCCCTTCTTGGGTAGGCCTCTTAGAATGGCTTCACTTAAGAAGGTCTACCTAAATTATCTTCTGGGAAGTTATATTATTTAGCATTACAAATGAATTTTAATAAACATTTTAAGTTGCAATAACACAAATTTGATATAAACCTTAAGCAAATACTTCAAAGATGTATGAATTTTTAACCGACTTCCAAGGAGGAGGTTATCAGTTCGTCGGAATATTTTTTTTGTTTTTTTATGTATGTTACCGCATAACTTTGGACCACGTCAACCGATTTCGATAATTCTTTTTGCGGAAAGGTAGTGTCTCAGAGGTGGTCCCGTACTAATTTGGTTTAGATCCGATCATTGAATCATAAAATAGTTTTTTTTTTTGCTAAAAATTACTTGTATAAATTAAAGAAGCAACTTTAAAAGACCTTGTCCAAAAGGCCTTCTGAAGCACGTCCTGCAAAAGCCCTTCTGGAAGGCCTTCTAACGGTAGCGAAAGAGGGAGGCCTTCAATTTGTGCCACTCCATACAAAAAAGAAAGCAGAAAGGAATGTAGAGTGGAAGGCCTCTTCATTCTCAGGAAGGCCTTTCGGAAGGAGTTTTAACTCCTGAAATTATCTACTGGGATGCTAGCCCTTCGAAATTTTCTGCTGGCCTATGCGTTACAGGTTCGCAAATTTAACCCCAACCGAAACCAAAGATGTATACACATCAAAAAATCAAGTTACTAATGAAGGAAAGCGAGTTATAAATAAAGAAGTAATGAGTGGTCAAATTAAAATACGCAAAGATTTTTTGTATGAAAAATGAGCAGGAATGAAAGATTTTTTTTTTGTAACAGAACAGGCTTTAGCACAAATGCAAAAATTTGCAACAGAACCTGTTATTTTTCTTCTGTTAAAGTTAGATTTTTTACACTTTTTCTTAAAAAAATAAAAAAAAAACTGGAATGATTAATTAATTTGTCAGAAACTATCAGTCCTATCGGAAAGTAATGTATATATGGTTTATGGAGACTGTTAAAAATGTTATTAAGAATGTTACATT